CGCTCAAGAAAGAATGAAGAGCTACTTGGTCCTGAAGTACCATATCTTCAGTTGCAATTGGTGCACCAATGTATTCTTGCAATACTACAAGGCCGACATAACCTTTTAAGTTAATGTCTTAGCAAGATATTAGCTCTGCTCCTACAAGGAAGGACATTGAAGTGGAATCAAACACATATTGTGTATCTAAAGGAACTACCAATAGCGGCTTATTTTTTATGCAATAATTGCAATCCCGATCTTGTGTTAGGAACGATGTGCCAAAACGTGCAGCGATGCTGGGTATTTATCATGATGCGCACAAGGCTTCGATCTCAAACAGGGTTATGTATTTACCTGTGAGGTACTGCCATATCTTGGCGATCGACAAAGCAATCCAATTGTGGCTACTTATCTAATCATGCTGAGTATAATTGCTATTCATGAGCAAGTCCGAGAAATGTGTGTGGTTGAGGTCTATATATACATCTTATTCGAGACAAATGTCGTTTAGAAATGTGAAAACACTACTAGAAATCGGTAATTAGCGACCAAAAAAATCGACCAACTTTTGGTCGTTATGGCCTATTACTGACCAAAATGTGACCAAATACGCTTGGACGGTATTTAGTAGTCGCTTTAGTTATACTGACCAAAGTTGGTCAGAAATTACCGACCAACGTTTGGTCGAAATTAAATTCAAAAAAAAAAATATTGCAAAAAAAAACCGACCAAAGTTGGTCGGTATTTTAATTATGTAATCAAAATATTCACCGCGCTGGGAATCGAACCGGGGTGTGTATTGTGGCAGGATTACTATCTACACTAGACCCATTAGACCATTGGTGCATTTTGTTTTAAGATTGTCTTTTTTTATTTGTACTCTTTAATTGTATTTTCGCACGAAAATAACCGACCAAACTTGGTCGGTTTTATTAAAAAATAAAATTACCGGCCAAAGTTGGTCGGTTTTTTAAATGACCGGCCGAATTTACCAACCAAAGTTGGTCGGTTTTTTAATATTAATTTTTATTTATTTTAATTGCAAAAACTGACCAAAGTTGATCGGTTTCTTGAAAAATAAATTTCGCGGGACTCAAAAATAGTTTCCCGCATTTTTGCGCCAAAGGAAACCGACCAAAGTTGGTCGGTTTCGTAAAAAAAATTAAAAATTGAAATATTTTCAAAAACCGACCAATTTTGGTGGGTTTTTGGCCGGTTTTTTTACCGACCAAAGTTGGTCGGTTTTTGTTGAATTTCTAGTAGTGAAACTACCCACAATTTTGTATGAAGATAATGCAGCATGTAAAGGGAGGATTCATATAAGGAGATAGGACAAAGGACATTTCACCAAAGTTATTTTTCACACATGATCTACAAAAGAATGGTGATATTAATGTGCAACAAATTCGTTCAGGTGATAATATGGCTGATTTGTTCACAAAATCTCTACCGACGTCAACCTTCAAGAAGCTAGTGCACAAGATTAGGATGTGAAGGCTCAAGGATGTGAAATGATGCTCTCATCAGGGGGAGTTTAATATGCGTTGCACTCTTTTTCCCTTACAAGGTTTTGACCCACTGGGTTTTCCTTGCAAGGTTTTTAACTAGGCAACCAAAAGGCGTATTGTTAGATATGTGTACTCTTTTTCCTTTGCTAGATTTTTTTCCCATTGAATTTTATTTTAGTTAAGGTTCTAACGAGGCACATTACTTATTGAGTAGACATTCAAGGGGGAGTGCTATGATTAAAATTGTAATCAGAGTGAATGTCTATCTTTTAGAGAGTTTTACTTTGTGGCTAAGTCATTTTACCCTATAAATAGAGGGGTCTTACCCCATTGTAAATCATCCCAAATCAATAAGAATTACTCTCTCTTTCTCTGCAATATTGTTCTTCTACTTTTATTGTTTTATTACTGTAAAAAAAATGTTTATAATGAGATCATCGCGCGACCGAACTATGGAGATGAGCATAGATGAATTAATACGTTTTTCATGAATCTTAGTAATATACATGATTTAGTGCAAAAAGGAAAAAATTACATTATCAAAGTAATGTTATTCTCAAGAATAGCCTTGTACGTCATATGTCATTTCGTTCCCAAAAATAATTTACAAACTCCTAGCTAGAAATAAAAGGAGATCACATTTTAATGTAACTAACAATATTGTAGTATTTCGTTTTTGTTCATATGGAATATATAATCTTGAAACATAAGTAAATTCATCGAAAATATATACATGCAGAAGAAAGTCTTAAACTTTACCTCCTCTATCCAAAAATTTACGTTGAGACTAGATTTCTACTTTTTATTATTCGTTGGGAGTTCGAACTTACGACAGGGATAAGGCTGTACATTCTGTCTATTCATCAACCTATAACACGAGTTATAAATATAGCAAAATCAAAATTTCGGAGGATCGGGGCAAGGCTGCGCAGGAAAAGAAGGTGGCATGACAGTGGGAGCGGACAGTTCGGTGCATAAAATATTCTGCATTCACGGAGGGTCTGGAGAAGGGCCGTATCCCAAGAAGTGTAATGTAGACAGCCTACCCTAATACAAGTATTAGTGACTGTTTCCACAGCTCAAACCCGTAACCTATAAGTCATACGGAAACAACTTTACCGTTGCTCTAAAGCTCCCCTCCTTGAGAGCCAAATGTTCCTCTCAATTTAAAGTAACCTATAAATTAAGCAAACTGATATGACATGTGAATGCATTATTTCAAATTGTATTAAAAGTTAAATATCATCTAGACTTTTACTTTTGTTATCACTTACTGTCAACCAGGGATGGAGTTGTCCAGAACAAAGGGGTTCAATCGAATCTCCTTCGTCAAACAGTTATAGAGATAATAGGGTAAAGTCAACAAAAAAAAAAAAAGAATAGGGTTAAATCGATTTTTTTTTTTTGTGTGTGTATATATAATTTATTGAATTCCCTTGCATAAGGGAATTCCTAAAGTAGCAGAGAAGGCAGCTCAAAAATTTGCTCTAGATTGAAGGTTTGAATCCCTCCTCTAGTATTCTTGCATTATTTAAAATTATCTTATTAAAATTTTTGGCTTCGCCACGGCTGACAAAAGATCTCAAGTAAATAGGTTCAATTATGTATGGCCTTTAAAAGGTTTCCCTACTTTTGTCTTCAATAACATTACTAAATTTGTCCATCACAAATCTCATATGAAGGCGGGGGATTTGCATCTATACCCGCTTTTTGGGTCACGTTTTAACTTGTGCCCGCTTTACAAAAAAAATTGCAAGTGTACCCACTTTTTTCGCGTAACTTCAGTAGACGGGGCTGAAGTAGCAAAGGCAATCACGCAAAACTTCAGCATTCTAGTAGACGGGCCTGAAGTAGCAAGTGTGCTGAAGTTTTTGTTTGTAATTGCTGAACTTAAGCATAGTAGCTGAAGTTTTGTTCTCTATTTGCTGAAGTTTTTGTTTGTAATTGCTGAACTTTAGCATAGTAGCTGAAGTTTTGTTCTCTAGTTGCTGAAGTTTTTGTTTGTAATTGCTGAACTTAAGCATAGTAGCTGAAGTTTTGTTCTCTATTTGCTGAAGTTTTTGTTTGTAATTGCTGAACTTAATTAGCATAGTAGCTGAAGTTTTGTTCTCTATTTGCTGAAGTTTTTGTTTATAATTGCACTAAATAAGCTGAAGTTTTTTTGTCCTGGATTCATTAGTTTTGTCATTAAGCTTTTTCAAAAACTTCATTTAGTTCATTTATAAAAACTTCAGCACTAAATAAGCTGAAGTTTTATTGTCCTGGATAAGCTTTTTCAAAAACTTCAGAAGAAGATGCTGAAGTTATTTAGTTCATTTGTAAACACTTCAGCACTAAATAAGTTGAAGTTTTTTTGTCCTGGATTCATTAGTTTTGTCATAAAGCTTGTTCAAAAACTTCAGCAGAAGATGCTGGAATTATTTAGTTCATTTATAAAAACTTCAGCACTAAATAAGCTAAAGTTTTTTTGTCCTGGATAAGCTTTTTTTAAAATTTCAGCAGAAGATACTGAAGTTATTAAGTTCATTTGTAAAACTTCAGCACTAAAAGCTGAAATTTTTTTGTCCTGGATTCATTAGTTTTGTTATAATCAGACTACTATAAAATAATCAGATTGCCAACAGTATCTAAATCATAAAATTTTGGAAACAAATAAACGTGAAAAGAACAGAATTATCATGAAAAGAATCACTAAGTGTGACCTTAAACTTCCCGTACGTGGAAATATTCACAAATTATTGTCTACTAACTTACGTAATTATTTATAATTTATTTTTAAATAATCTGATAAACATACTTATGGCAATCATCCCATGAACTGAAGTTTCATAGCAGCACCAACAGCAGCAGAAGAAAGAAGAAGAAGAAGAAGAAGAAGAAGAAAACGAAGAAGGAGAAGGAGGAGGAGAAAGGGGCTGAAGTTGTTTAAAAAGTGGGTACAAGTTAAAATTTTTAAAAAAAAAAATGGGTATAGGTTAAATGGGAGCGACCAAATAGGACGCCCCGTGCAATTTTTTACGAAGACTTTGGTCAGAATAAGCTCCCAGTCCAACAGTAACATGTAATCCAAGGCCCAAAATTATACTACATGAGATGTTTCCTGCAGTCTTTTGCAATAACGGTTTTGGATGGATTTTTCTAACTATTTCCCCAATTATCAAGATTGATTTCCTTGTGTTAGAAATTACCATACCATCAGTAGAAACTCAAAGAAATTAACAACAGAAGCAAAAACCATTATATATATAATTGTAATAGCAGACAGTAGTAGATCTCCACAAATCTTTTGATATTTATTGAGACAAGCACATAAGCATTTATTGCATCCAAAAATCAACACATCAAAAAAAAAAAGATTATTAAACATCACACGAATTAACCAACAGGGCCTCGAGGTTCATTTATTAAAATTGTTGACCCAAAAGTTTCTTCATTTGCGGTGGAAGGAAGTAATAATGGTGAGAACAGCCATGGTTGTAAATCCTGCCAAAAGGGGAGTTGTTGCTAAAGTACCCCTGTCAAAGAATTTTTTGCTCTCGGTCCTTAACTCTTCGAATGTATCAATCCCCGATGTTTCAATAGTATCCACAAATCCATTTATGTAACGTTTGAGTTCAGAACTGACACCAAATCCCACACCAAGTCCACTTGCCAAGAAGAATGTTATAATCTGCAGCCAATTTCATTCAAAACTTCAATTAAAATGATGTGTAACAGTTTATTTCCTCGACCAATGTGGGACGTAAAATGAGTAAAGGGGCAGCCCGGTGCACTAAGCTCCCGCTATGTGCGAGGTCCGAGGAAGGGCCGGACCACAAGGGTCTATTGTACGCAGCCTTACCCTGCATTTTTGCAAGAGGCTGTTTCCACGGCTTGAGCCCGTGACCTCCTGGTCACATGACAGCAACTTTACCAGTTACGCCAAGGCTCCCTTCAAATGAGTAAGACACTGAATTATCAAATAGTATTTCAATTTGCCTACTTAATTTGCAGCGAGTTACTTAATTGTGTAATGAATTAAAATATAGAGTTAGAAGAGGTTATAAAAGCAGACCTTATCTGCGTAGAAATCCAACATGCCCAGGAACCTGCCCTTAATAACCTTTTTACCTGTGAAGGCATAATACATTGCGAAGGGCAGCTGAATGAATGAGTACAAAAATCCAACCATAGCGGCTGATACGACATACCTGTAATAGTAGAGAATGATTAACATGTTACTTCTTTTAAGTATAGCGACAACAGAGAGGGAGCTTAGTTTTCTCGACTTCATTCTCATAGCTCGAATTCAAAACCTCTGACTATTATAATCAGACAACATCCTTCGATGACAAGAGATATACTATTGTCTAATTACAAAGAGCTAGTTTAACGTTTTAACACAACGAAGTAAAATAATTCTCACACTAGCTAGTATCAAATCACCTAAAAGATTACTACAAGTTATATGGTGCATAAAAGTGGAATTAATTGTATGATCTAAAAAAAATATGAAATTGTTGGCCTGCTACAAATATACTGAAGCAAACAACACTTTTACACTCTTAGTATATATAATATAAGTTAACTCCTGACAAGAATCATGCTAACATTTTATTTTTACTACTCAAGAATATGTTTGTTACCCTACTCATTAATTCTGGTTAGAGCAAAAAGTAGAGACAAAATAAGGGGAGCAGAAGTTCACCTATAGCCCCTAATGTCACTGTATTTGGTTTTTTCGCCACCACTAAGCGTGAAACTGTTGTTAATCATGAGCGGCACAGAAGCAGCGCACAACAACATTGAAAAGATTCTGAGAACAAGGATTGCTATTGCCCTTGGTGTTGTCATTCTTTTTTTCTTAATCTTTGAACAATTCTAAGATCTATGCACATTTGGAGTGGTAGTGAGAGCATCCTTTTATACCGTTGGACTACAACTATACAAACATTGAGCGATTACACATTAATCACTATATTTGTCTTTTTGTCTGAATTCGTGTTTGTACTGTTACGGTCACTCTAGATGAAATTTCCTGATAGCTTAGATGCCAATTAGTTTCCCCTAGCACAGAAAAGGGTATGACGTCTTTATCCATTCCAATAAATATTAGAATATTTTATTATGTTGAAGTACTCTAACTGATAATTAGTGAATAAGGTGTATATTCGATTCATGTTAAAGCTGTAAGGAGATAAAAGGCTTTAGTCCCCTCTTTCACTTGAATTAGTAGTTTTTTTTTATATTTGCATAATTCTTCTATAATACAATTTCATGTCAACTATTTTACTCTAATCTATATGCTCCATTTTCATGTATTATAACCTTTTTCTACTGCAGCATTAAAGCCAATTAGATAATTAGGGTAAACGAATATGCGATTTATCGTGCAGATCCCTGTGTAAAACCCACAAGTATTTGAGAAACTCTTTTATATCTTCTATTTTTCTGTTTTTACACCTGAGACAGCCTAGTTGTTTAATAAATATATCTTTATTCTTTAACACCTATCAAATGACTTTTCATGGTACACTGCCTACGCTTTTATAGTCAATGTATACAACCTTATGAAATTAAACATACTTAAGACCAAAAAGAAAAAAAAGGAAAAACATCCCTTTGCCTAATTCATCATCATCCTTTAGATCCTTACTGGAAGCATATATATGTCAATGCAATAAAACGAACCTGCCTGCTTTAGTGGTGGATCATATATATTAGAACACACACATTCTTTTCTGGTGTGTGACTTATGAATCCTTCTTTAATGTCACTTTCTGTTGGTTGTTTGTTTCGTTCTAGAAACGCAACATCACCAGTGAAATCACGAAATTTCGATGCGGTATGCTAAAAATTGCTGTCAAATCCGACTAGATATTATCAAGAAATTAAACAACATAAAAGGACGAAACTTGTCAAGCAATTTAACTGATGAATGATGATATCACAAAAATTCCATTCTATACTTGCTGGTGAAATTTCCTTTCCTTTTCGGTATTTGTCTTCGTTAAGAAATGGTCACTATCATGCCTGAGGGTTGATGGAGACACGTGGAGACAAAGAAGGTCCCTATACAACTTTAATGAGGAGAGAACTTGTGTATCTTCGTTAATATGAAATGTATTTATATAACGGCTAAAAATCATTTTGATTCTCAAACTTTATCTTCAGGGGCGGTCCGATAAATTTTGTGGCCTAAAGTCAAACTTTATGAGAGGCCTTAATCTTCTTCTTTTTTTTCTAGTTTTTTTTCTAAATGCAAAGTTATTAATAATTTCCTTATATTCAATTTCTCCTAATTTTTAATTGACAATATAGCTAATTTATTTAACCTCTCTTGAGACATTGTTGATCTTAGGTAAGATTTTATCAATTTTAATTTTAGAAAACTTCTTTCCGCTGAAGCAATGGTAACAGAAATTATTAACATTTATTCTATAAACAATATAGGTGGACACGGCGAGGCCATGTGAGGGGTTGCGTTTAAGCAGTGCATCACGCCAGCAGGCGCGCTATCAATCGCGCCTTAGACCCTCCGAGGTAGCGTGTGGGGAAGTGAATTTTTAGCATGGGGTGGGGTGTGGAGCATTGTACCTTGTGCTAAGCAACGCGAGGCACATTAAGATTGCGCATTCGACTTTTCCCCGCGATGGCTCAGTGTTTTCTTGTTCGTTTTGCAACAGCTTGTTTAGCCCCGAGCACATCTTTCTTCCAATTAGATCCAAACCTATCAAAACACTTCAAATTCACACAAAACTCTCTTGTTAGTCCACCTCAATATCAAACTAAAACTAAAAGTAAACTAAATCTACGTTACGAATTGGGCTGCCTCCCAATAAGCGCCTTAGTTAACGTCTTGGCATGACCAATCAGAGTTTTGAAAGCGGTACGACAGGCCCAGAGTGCATCATCTAACTTTCTCGCCCAATCCTTTCTTGTAGCATTCACGGTCTTTGTCAAAACACTTTTTATCTCTCTGTTCGAAACCTCCACTTGCCCACTCGTTTGTGGGTGATATGGGGTGGCAACCTTGTGGCGAACACCATATTTTTCTAACAACTTTGCAAAGGCTCGGTTACAGAAGTGAGTGCCTCCATCACTAGTTATTTCCATTGGAGTTCCAAACCGGGTAAATATATTCTTTCGCAAAAAACCAATGACCCCCTTTGCATCATTTGTAGAGAGTGCAACAACTTCTACCCATTTTACACATAGTCCACAGCTACGAGTATGTACTTATTTCCATATGAGCTGACAAAAGGCCCCATGAAATCGATTCCCCATACATCAAACACTACCACCTCCTGAATTGGGTTCATGGGCATCTCATGTCGGCGGGAAATATTCCTGGTCCGTTGGCATTCATCACAACCATTCACCTAGAAGTGTGCATCTTTGAACAATGTCGGCCAGTAGAAGCCCGAATCCAACACTTTCGCAGTTGTCCTTACTCCCCCCAAATGGCCACTATATGAGGATGCGTGACAAGTCTGCAAAATAGAATATTGCTCTATCTCGGGGATACATCTCTGGATCATGTTATCAACACAAATCCTGACAAATAAGGCTCATCCCAAAAGTACATGCGACAATCACGGAATAACTTTTTCTTTTGTACATAGGAAAGGTCATAGGGGAAAATACCGCTCGCTGGGTAGTTTGCAATGTCTGCATACCATGGTGCTACCTCAAGGCTTGTGGCCAATAGTTGTTCATCTAGCAAATTCTCCACAATCTCTTCCACACCAACCTTCTTCTTTGCTCCTTCCAGCATATAAAAGTGATCAGCCACTTGGTTTTTCGTTCCCTTTCGGTCATGGATTTCCAAGCCAAATTCTTGCAGCATTAGCACCCATAGAATCAGGCACGGCTTTGACTCCTTCTTCTCAATTAGGTACTTGAGAGCAACATGGTTAGTATAAACAATTACCTTCGAGCCTATCAGGTATGGCCTGGATTTTTTCAAATGCGAACACCACTGCTAGCATCTCCTTTTCGGTCACCATGTAATTTAGTTGGGCACCACTCAATGTCCTACGTACATAGTAGATTGGATGTATGACTTTCTCTTTTCGCTGCGCAAGACCTTCTCTCACAGCATAGTCGCTTGCATCACACATCAGCTCAAACGGTTGCTCCCAGTCAAGTGCCACTATGATTAGTGCAGTCACCGGCCTCTTCTTAAACTCCTGAATAGATACCATGCAGTCATCAAAAAACACAAAGGGGTGATCTTTTTCAAGCAATTTACACAAAGGGTTAGATGTTTTACAAAAATCTTTTATAAGTCGCTTGTAGAAGCCAGCATGACCAAGAAAACTTCTTATGGATTTGATGGAAGTGGGTGGAGGCAACTTCTCAATTACATCAACCTCAGCACGGTCCACCTCAATGCCCTTATTTGACACTACGTGTCCTAAGATTATACTTTCCTGTGCCATGAAATGGCACTTTTCCCAGTTCAGTACCAGATTAGTCTCCATACACCTCTTCAATACTCTTTTCAAGTTCATAAGGCAATCATCGAATAAGTTCCCTACCATTGAGAAGTCATCCACGAGAATCTCCATTATGTCCTTTACCATATCTCTAAAGATGACCATCATGCACCTTTGGAATGTGGTGGGTGCATTGCATAGGCCAAAGAGCATCCTTCGAAAGGCATAGATACCATACGGACAGGTGAAGGACGTTTTCTCTATATCCTCCAGGGCAATAGAGATCTGTTTATATCCCGAGTATCTATCCAGGAAGCAAAAATGGGACCTCCCGGCCGATCTATCTAACATCTGATCAATGAATGGCAGAGGAAAATGCTCTTTTCGAGTGGCCTTGTTCAATCTTCTGTGATCCATACAGATTCGCTATCCCGTGACTGTTCTTGTTAAGATCAACTTGTTGTTCTCATTTTGCACTACAGTCATTCCACCCTTCTTTGGCACACACTGAGCTGGGCTGACCCAGTTGCTGTCAGAGATGGGGAAGATGATTCCCGTATCTAACCACTTAATCACTTCTTTCTTCACCACTTCTTTCATGTTGGGTTTCATCCTTTTTTGATGTTCTCTGGAAGGTTGGTGCCCATCTTCCAGTAGAATCTTATGTATATAAAATGTTGGGCTGATACTAGGGTTGTGCACGGATCGGATTGGATCGGATTTAGCATATGTCGGATTCGGATTTTAGATTTCGGATTCTGAAAATGGCAATCCGAATCCGATCCGAATTAACATTGGATCGGATCGGATTTTAAACTTTGGATCGGATAATTTTTCGGATTGTCGGATCGGATTGTCACAAAATTGCTGGTTAGGACTTAGGACCATTCATCTCCTAAAACACCATTCAATCAGAAAAAACCATTCATCTCCTAAAGCACCATTCAATCATAATCAAAAAAATTGAGTGAATAAACACCATTCATCTCCTAAAACACCATTCAATCATATTGAGATTCACTGTTGTTGGTTGTGGAATCAGTTGAAGCATCTCTTTCACCAAAATTTTCAACAATTTGAAGTTTATTCGGTGTCTCTTGTCTCATCTTCCATCTACCAAAACAAAAAAAAATCAAAGTAAAATCAAAAGTTGAAAAATAGAACATGAAAGAGACATAAAAGACATAAGAGAAAGGAAGAGAGGCGGAAGAAAGAGACATAAAAATCAAAGTAAAATCAGAAGTTTGAGACTTTGAGTCTTTGAGACTCTTCAGTCTTCACTGAAGAGAAGAGAGGAGGAAAAATCAAAGTGAGTGAGGGGGTGTATAAAAAATGAATAAGCCTAACCCTAAAATTTTAGTGTAGTATTTATATAGGTACATATAGTTTCGAATTTCGGATCGGATCGGATTTAGATCATACCAATCCGAATCCAATCCAAAAATTCGAAATTTCATAAAACACAATCCGTATC